CTACAGAATGCTCACCTTTTTTTATATTTATAAAGTAGAGTAATTTTGTGTGAATACTTTAAGATCGATGGCTTCTTCTTGGAACTTAAAAATACTGCGGCGTTATTAGAAATGGATACATTGTACTCGTAATTCAAGGGATTTGCAACCAAGTAGGACGACTTTCTTGAAATGTACAGAATGTGTATTGAACTTTAAAAACGCAACAGGCTATTTACAACACAGGATAACGGTGCAGAAAAACCGATAAATAAAAAGCAGGAATGTTATTAACGATGAGTAAAAACGGTGCAATGATTGTGCAAATGCCAGCAGGGTTGTAAACACTTTATTAATGTGGAATATAGGTTTCACATTCTCTGCCACAGTCGGCCTCGTCACAAGTCAAGAGGACGACTTGAAGCAGAGTACAGACTCCACATTAACAGAGCGCTAACAGATAATGTGAAAAAAAGTTTTATTTTCATTATTATTGCACTTGTGTTCAAAAACAACTGATAGAAAGAGATTAACACCTTTTCATGTCAAATTTCTAAACATTATTGAACCAAAGCGATCTTAATATTGTCTTTGCAGTGTTTTATTTAATCCCTGACACACTTTGTGTTTATATTGTAAGCTTGTTAAATGTTCGGTATGATGTATGGAGCCTGAAGTGGATTTATTTTCCTCACAATGAACAAGAAAACTTTTATTAAAAAGACAAGAAAGATGCATGTAAAAAAAAAAAAAAAAAAAAAAAGTTGTTCAGTCTTCAGCATGTTCCAAGTTATAAACTACAACATAATTATAGAAGCTCAATGTGGTGAGTAATTGTAAGGATATGTCTGAATAAGCAGAACATTAACTTGTTTATTGTGATAAGCCAGAAGTGCTCTTCTAATGATGACTTAAAGCAAGAGAATATGATGTTGGAGCCAAGTTAATTATTGTTTTTGTTCTGAAAAGACACAGGTATTTAATACAGTGGTTACTGCTTATTCAGTATTGTGAACCTACAGCAAATATGACCGGATTGTTATGAGCCATTAATAGCCCACGGTTGACAAACATTTCTAGCTAATAATTGAAGTGCACCTTTGCACAGAAAAATGTGTACATGAGGTGCCGGCCCTCTCAGAACTGTGGTCTGTAGCTTGCATGTTGCCTTGCTGTGACTCATGATTGCATGAGATAAAGGTTATTAACTACGAATCTAAGCCAAGTCTCAAATTCTCAGAGTTTGAGGGTATTGGAGGTATTTCTCATGGACTGTAGCTTCTTTCAGAAAGGTTTTTAGCCATCTCATAAGACAAAGACGACTTAAGCATTCGGCGTAACAAATTTTATGTTAACTTGGTCTCAAAATTTCTTAGACCTCAATCCATTTGAGCGTCTTTACTTGATTTGTTACTTTCACTATGCTGTTAATATTTCATGAAATGACTGCAGAGGAAACTTTTCAATTAAGTTTTTATTCAAGAGAAGCAAGGTTCAGTGTGGCACAACTTAGCTGTTGACTTTAGAGATTTAGAGTGTTGCTTGTTTTCAGGCAGAATCAGTAGCAGTCTGTGAAAATTGATTTCCATCCATTATGTGACTCACAAAACGACTCTTGAAAACCTCAGCCATTTTTTTTCCGCCCTTTGGTTATGTATCTCTTTGAGCACTCTTGAGTTCTCCACTTCATGAAGTTTGCAGAAGGATTCCTGCTGACCAATGTAAATCGCATACAGTGTTCCCATGTCAACCAGGAGATGATTTGCAGTAAGCTGCTGGAGGAAATGGCTTCTCCCTTCAGGGTGGCTGGTTGTTCAGGTCTGACTTTCCTCTAGTGAAAGGGATCAAAGCAATCATGGTTGGCCCTCTTAAGAAAGATAGATGTACAAATGTGAAGAATCAAATCTGCTTCAAAAGAGAACACCACTGGGAGACTGAGAGATGAGAGGGCAGTGAGTGAATGGGAAACCAGTGTGAAATCGCTCTTGTTGCCACACCATAAGAGAAGAGAACATAGCAGTCTCCTGCTGTTCAGAGTTCTCACAGAGTACATCAGTTCATAATGTGCTTGGGTGTATGTCAGGCAAGATTTCGAAGCAAATAAGTACTTATTGTGACAAAAAAATATCTGATTTTTTTTTTTTTTTTTTTTTTACAGTAAAAACATCTATCGATATGATAAAGATATAAGAGCTATAGAATATTAAGAATGATAATTTTTCTGCTTCCAAACAGATGTTTGGTTTCTATTTATGATTTTAAAACAACTAAATATTAACTTAATCCAGACTTTTTGACATTTTCTTTTCTTGTTTGAGATATCACAAGAATAAGCTGTGCACAAATGAACAACCGTCTGGTCTTTCTGACCTACAGACAGAAATCAAACATCTTGTCTGAGTTTGTATATTGACCTTTTTTTTTTTCTGAATATACACTGAGGTCTGTGTGTGACCACAACTGCCTCCAGCATTTGCTTCAGTTTACTCTCACTGGTCTTAGGATGTGTAGCTTGATCTGAAGGTTTTCAGCTTGACTGGACATGACTGTCTAATCAACTATAGATAAAGCAGATGCTGCATCTAATTTTCATTTGCAGGGACTTTCAAGACACATCTAATACATCTCCAAATGTGTCTTATTTGTAGGCCTCTTCAGCTTTTTTCTGAATATTTCAGTTTTGCTTAAAAAAAAAATCACTGCCTCCTAAAATGAAAAAGCAATCACAACAGTTTAAGAAACAATTATTCCTGGTTCTGCTAAAGTAATTGTGTATAATGAGTACAGTTGTAATAATGCTATCTATAACAGTTCTTTTGCAGTTTTTGATTTTGACACCCTGACTTTAGCTCAATGTTGTAAAAGTGTTTGTTGTGAAGAATATTATACTTTTTTTTTCTGTTTTGCTTTTTCATCGACTAATACAAGCATAATCAGTGCAAGTTAGTTTGCTTGGTTTAAATTTATTGAAAGGCTGTGGCAGCAAAACAACAGTTTCTCACAATATTGAAATGCAATGAGCTGCAAGCTGATTTTCAACTTTAGTTTTTAAGCTACACAAAAAGTTCCAATGTAAAATCTACACACGAATCTTGCTAATCTTTGGAATAATGCCAACCAGAAACACTTGCAGTAGAGCAAAACTTTATCTGTTACATAAAGTTGGATATATGACCTCTACTTCATTTTCAGTATGTTAGGCTATATTGATTTTCAATAGCAAAAAAAAAAAGAAAGATAGCCAATAGCAGATATGTCTCATCAGCCAAGAACTTTGTTTTTAGAAGTAGAAGCACATTTCCCTCAGATAATCTTCCATAAAGCTTTCTCACTTGAGTCCTGAGTGTCCAGATGGGATTTTCCAAATATTGTTCAGTGTTTGTATAAAAAAAAAATGGCTGAAGTGAAACAAAGGGGTACATTTTCATTTGAAACGAAGTGCTGATAGCCTGCAAAGCATCTTTGATTTTGTCAAGTCTGCTTTGATATGAAGGCAGTGATGCTTGTGAGTGGCCTGTGGTTCTCATCCAATCGGTATGTGGCGTGAAAGCTGATTTCTTAGCTTATCGCCTGCTCACAAAAGAAACCTTGTGAGGAAGGTGTGACATCAAACACTATAGATGGATAGAAACGCCTTCCTCCATAGCTCAAATTGGCAGCAAGAATCCGAGGCTATATGCTATTCTACATTATGTGGTTTTTATTCTTAATCCTCTCCAGGTGTCGATCTAGTTTTGCAGTGTGGTTCATCACAATGTGCAGAAAAAAACATGTCATCAGTGCTGCATGTCCTTCTTTCAAATGCAGGTTTGTTGCCTCGCATGTGGAGTTTTTGCTTGGGATTTTGAGCACTAGTAAGAATATTATCCTTCAAATTTATTCTTCGGATCAATAAAGAATATTTTTGACTTACAAGAAAGTTATGTAGATTTTTCATGTGGAATTACCTCTTCTAAGAATAATTACAAGTTGCGCACAATCTTCTAAAATGTTTTTTTTAATGTTACTCTGCATGCATTTTTACATATTACTATAAAATTATTTTGCCACTCACACTCTCTTTCTGACACATTTGTCCAAATTGGTTTAATACTCTGAGTGCTTTCAGAAGTCTGAGCTTAGAGCTGGCATTTTCTTCAAACTCCGGTTGAGTCTGTTCTACGTGAAACAGAAAAAAACAGTCATATTTACTAAGTTTTCTGCTAATTGGTAATTGTTTGCTAATTAAAGCAAACAATGCCAGGCTGTGATGCCTTTTAGCAAACATATCGATCTTGTTAAGCATCAGCTAACACTGGCAAGCCGTTTTTTCATATTAATACTTATTAATTAATATTAATTTTATAATAATAATTAATCAAAAATTAGACTTGGTTTGCACTGGATTAACTTTAACTTGACTCCACAGTATTTATGCAAAACATGGTTGAATTTTCTGCTTATATAAAAACAATTTGAAATTAACTGATGTGAAGTAAATCAAAGTAAAGTAAAATGTTGTGATAAATGTGCTCTACGTGACATCAATCATGTTTTCTGTTTGTCTAAGAGACGTGAAAAAATTGTCCATTTGTTCACGGAAGGGAAAATCGTTTTTTCATAATGGGAAAAGCAAGGTGATCATAATACCAACAAAATGTTCAAACTGTGATCTTTATATAAACTTCCCTACCTGTGGAACAGTAATGAAGAAATGACTGCAATTTTTTTTAAGTGGATATTTTGAAAATTAAAACAATCATTGGGTTTATTCTTTTAGTGAGCGTTTTATTTTCACGTTCTTTCTTGGAGGGGTGGGGGTGGATATGTATTGTATAAACATCAGCAAAATTGGCAAAGGAGATTAATCTCTTTTGGAAAAAAATATTGACCCAATGAAAATGCTTTTTTGGTTAGATCTGCACATGGGTTCTATCTTGAGTAGACAGCCTTCAGGGTGTGCTGATACATGAATGGCATCAAATCTTTTGTTTTCTTCTCTTTTTTTTCCCTTTTCATTTTTTCCCCTCTGCTCCGTCCAGGTGGGCAGGCAATAAGGCTTGACAGAAGATGCGACGGGGGCGGTGGCTTGTCAGATGGCTGGGGACCGGAATGGCAATCCTCGCTTTGCTTACCCACAGCTGGGGCCAGGCCACAGAAGGTATGAGCGGCCTGCACCTAGTCGATCATTCCCTGGCTTCTCCTTTTTCCACACTGTAAAGAGGAAACGTGCAGAATGTGTAAAGTAATTCTTATTTTCACCGTAATATGACCTGTTTTCTCTCCCACTGGCACAATCTGATGTTTTTGGAAAATGATTTGCTGGAAACCAGTGTTGTTCTTTGTGGATAAGTTTGGAAAATCATTCTAAAATTTTGGGAAGTAAAAGTCGCTGCTTGAAGATTCTTCATTCATAATGATGTCTGCGAAATAAATACAGCATAAGTTATGCTAATAATATCCAGTAAGCTGCAGATAAAGCTAGTTATTTTATTTCACTTGCTGAAGTGTAAGAGGTTCACTGAATTTGAAGTAGACTGTAGAGACCACTGAGAACTCAAATGATCACCCAACACTGTACAAAGTTGTGCTGCAAAAAGAACATCACTCTTACAAAATTCTCACCATCGTCTTACCCAAAACTTTAAAAAGTCATTATTCAAAGGACGAGTTTGAATTCTGCTTTTTTTTTTTTTGCTACACAGTTCACTGATCAGAGGCTTCTCTTTGAATATTCTAGGTTTTCATGCTGAGAGTGCGATTTTTAATCTTCCAGTCTCGGCTCAGTGAGTTTGTGGCAGGTGCCAGTTAAAAGCAAACTCCAACTGTACGAGACTGACATTTTTGCTTAAACACAGGGGCGGCCCAAAGCTGCACACACAGTGAGATGTGCCACAGTCGCTTAAGTGAATGGCAATATTGTCATTTTTCTACTCGCTCAAAACCTTATGCTCTGTTGTTTTTAATACGGTTTCATTTAGTCTTTCCTTGCTTTGCTTGTTTGGATGCTTCACATATTGAAAACACTTTTAGATTAGAGCTATACTTGCTGAATAGTTTATTGTAAGTTAAAAGTTTCTTTATTGCTCCCATGTAACAGTTTACAGATAAATATTAGTGTCTATTTATTATAGCTGAAACACTGACCTATTCTGGTAATCGGCTTAACATTGCTAGTTTTCCATTAAATCTTAAATTGAGGTCAAGTCTGCGTTGATCTGCAAATTATCATAACATAACCAAACATTATGGGAAATCAATATAATAATTTTAAGTGTCGCTGGTGTTCTATGTTATTTAAAACATAGGAATCAATATTTTCTCTGTTTTATAGAATGTCTAATATAATCAGAAATGCTTGGTAACACTTATGTTGTATATCTTTTTTTTATCTTTAAGGTGAGGCTAGAAGAGTTCAGTTGTCTAGACGGCGCTTATTATCCACATCACACTATTTTGCCTCAGTCTTGCTGCCTCTCTCTGTGTTGTGGCTGAGACACATTTATCCTTTGGTCTCCTTTATGTTCCAGCATCATTTTCCCACGTGTCTTATTATTTTTTTTTCAAATACAGTCTGATTACAAGCCAAGCCTCCCTCCTATAGATTTTTGTGGACATGTTAAAAAAAAAAATACTGCAACTGAGATACCAGATATGGACCACTGCTAAAGAACGGCTTCAAGTGCTAGTTTAAATGATGTAGCGATGACCTAATATCTTTCTATGCTTTGCAGAGGCTCTTAATGCACTGATAAAGGTATACTCACTTCGACATACTAAATGCTTGAAGCAGGTGACAGCTGTGTGATGTACAACCTATGTGATTCAGCTCATAAATATTTGATAAGTTAAGGGTGCTCACTGTATGAAACATTGAATTTTGATCAGCTGTAGCAGATCATTGAGTACAGAAAAAAGGATATGGTGACGTTGTTGCAAAAAGTGACTTTGTCCTTATGTCACTTACAAAATGTGAAACATCACCTTAATGTCTTAAGGTTTTAACTTGTGTCAAATGTGTGTTCAGATATGCCATTGTTCATAGAAAGGCATGAGTGTGACCATGGCTTAATAATCATTTACCATCATTTACAGTCATTAACCATTTCTTAATACTGGTTTAAGTTTCTGAGTATATGTCTTGAAAAGGAGGACAAAACAGGAGTGAAAAGTGTGTGGAAGAAAAAAACCTGTTCAAGCACTGCTGTATTTTTGTTTTTTTTTTCATTTTTAGGGCATTTATTGGTTGAGAGTTACATTTTGAAGCCTGCTCTTGTGCAGGTTTGACTTTCAGCATTAGCTCCCACCCTGATAGACCAGTGTAGGAGGTGAAACAAAATTGTGTATAATGTATACAGTTTTATTTAATTATTTTAAAGACTTTTTTTAAACTGTGTTATGGTAGGACACTTTTTCCAATATAGGCAATACATTGAAAATCTTGAAACTTGGCTTGTGACATTCCAAAATGCTAAAGATCACAGAGTGATGAAAGTCACAATAAGTTTTTTTTTTATTTAACTGAGACTTGCTGTTGTTGTAGACAGAAATGATTTGGAGCCCTACAAATGATCTCTGATTGGGTCAGTGTGTGTGTGGATCTCTGACGCTGAGTTTTCCAGATGGGGCTGATGTTACATTTTTTGCCATGATTTTCACTCCTCCCACCACTGCACTATTCTTTCTGTCAGAAACCAAGTCTGCCCTGTGGAAGGTCTCCTTTGGCATCTGGGGACATAAAGACTAAGCCTGTATTTGTTTTCACTCACTTTAAGTAGGACTGGCCCAATGTATCACAAATGTATGTCTATAGCAAGTGATAAATGTGTGCAATATTTATACTGCAACAGACTGCTAGGATTACAATATCTTTTCGGCTGATGTATCCCAAGTGTTAAGAACCTTTTACACGCCGGTGTAACATTTAGCTGGCTGAAAAGCGTTGCACGGCAACAGATCCTCACACAGGACACAAGTGTTGCTGTCCAAAATGCTAAAGATCACAGAGTGACGAAAGCACAGATGAGAAAGACAAGAAAGAATAAAATGGGCATATATCACCGCTGACATGATCACTGCAGTGTTTACCAGTATAGTGGAGGAAAATTTACATTTGTTCTTTTGGATAAAAAAAAAAAAAGTAAGGCTGTACAACAGACACTTGTGTTAATTTCCCTCTGGTCTGATACATCTAAATAAAACATAACCACCCATCTTCATTAGTGACCAAACAAGTAAACAGAGTTCACCTCAGAATAAACACAGCTGTTCTGTGAAGCCCTAAGAGGTTTGAACAGAGTTGGTGTGAAGGTGGTCGTCACTAAATATAGGACAATACTGGAATAAAACCTCCTAGAGGATGACTTGGAACAGGCGTGAAGGCTTGACTCTCAGGAGGACAGTGACGCCAAATGGTCAGATCTGCAGAGTAATGACTTGAATTATGTCCATGTGTCCAAATGACTCAGTCAATCTTTAGAACATAAATCGGATCAGGTATCTTTGGTACGACTTGGAAATTGATATACCATCCATTCAATCTGACTGAGCTGGTCCAATTTTGATTAAAAGAACAGGGACATCTTTTAGAGACTGACTCCACAGCAACGATTGTAATTGCAGCAAACGGTAGCTCTTCAAAGTGCTGAATTCTTTGTGATGGTGTCACATTATGTCACACTAAAATACATAAGTCCTTGATTGTAACACAATAAAATTTTAACAAGTTAAAATAATTATGGTTGCTTTTTATGAAGAACTATACATAGGCCAGTGTTTCTCAATCATGGTCCTCGGGGACCACTGCTCTGTTTGGAGTTTCCCTTCTGCCAAACACCTGGCCTGAAGAAGTGGGTGATTAACAGGCTTCTGCAGAACTTAATGGTATGCAGGAGCTAATGCTATCATTTGAGTCGGATGTGGAGGAGCAGAGACGCATCTAAAATATGCAGGGCAGTGATCCCTGAGGACCACTGCCCTGACTTAGACTCTCATAGATCTAATCGGTGTGAATAATCAGAAGTAATATATTCATGCTGATTAGAATAAATCAGTGGGAATCTGATCGTCCAGGACAATCTGGACAAGTCACTTTTGCAGAATTACAGGACAATTTCCAACATTTCATTAATTTGCAAAATTATTGCAAAAGTTTTGCAAAGGTTTAATTTCAAATGAATCACCTTTTTTCTATGAATAAAATTTTGATTATGCATCAACATCTAAATATTTCCCAATAAGGAATGGAATAGACAAATCTTAATCTTTTTTTTTTTTTTTTTGTCAATGTAAGTCCAGTGTTTTACAGCGTTTCAACAGTGACTAATGAAATATTTAAATCCGTCCCAAAGCTTGACAGAGGGACACACTGTGTCTATACATGCAAATCTCCCAGTCCACAAATCCAGATGTCACCCAAATCCACGTACACTCACAGGTGCTTAACTCCGCTTAGCAGTATCTGGGATTGTGAATCAGTTAATGTGGCCATGGACACTTCTGCCATCAGCCTTCCCTTTCAGTCTTCCTCCATCTCGATCCAATCGTTCCCAGCCTTTCGCATCTGCACTTCTGTTCTGACCCACAATAGTTTGTCTATTTTTGGGATTGTCTGATCGGGAGCCAGATGTGCAGACTGTGTCTGACGGCAGCCGTTGCGGTCTGTGGGGTGGGGGATGCAGTGGAGAAATGAGAGGAGGAGGAGGAGGAGGAGGAGGGGTTTTTTTAATCTGTTCACCACCAGGCTGTAATCAGGCCCTGGGCTTTACAAAAAAGGAGGGGGAGAGGGAGGGCACTGTTGTGGAGTGTGAGCCGCCTGTGGTGTGTTCCAACAGGCCCATCCTGGAGCACAGTGTGTGCGTGCTGATCTGTGCACTTAAACTGTGATTGCAATATTTGCCCTGCGCTCTGTGTGGTTTCCCTATCGGGGAATAAAGGGAGCGGGGCAATGAGGGGGGTAATCTTAACTGGGAAAGTGGAATCTGCCCAGGAGAAAAGTAAAGTATACCCTCTGTCCTTCATCAGCCACCAATAATTTACATCACATCAATTTCTCATTTCCACCTTGGTCTCTGAACCAATATCAATTCAACAATTATCTACAAGGAGATATAGTTGGAGTCAGAGAAGTAATGAATCGTCTTTTTCCTCAATGTAAAGACC